CCCCCCCCCCCCCCCCAAATGTTGTCTAAAGGGCAGAAAACTGATTGCATGCCTGTGGAAAGAAACGGGGTTTTCTGGGGATGGAGGGGGAAAGTAGGATGACTTAAAAGTTTGGAGATGGTGAGAAGAAGCGTTTGTATTTCTGTGTGTTTTAATGGAGGAATCCTAACAAGACTAGAGATCTGTCATGGGGGCCCATGCAGAAAGAACCAGGAGTTTATTTAAACCCTTAAAAATACTGCTCCCCCAAGGGTCAATTCAGTTGTGTTTTAAATAACCCTGTTTAATTTGGACTTTAACATCTTTTTCACATATGGTCAAATTTCAGTCTCTTGAGAGGATTTAATCCTTCTAGTTCTCAAGTCCTCCAGAAGGAGGAGGAAATCAAGACCTGATATTTCTAATTGGAAAATCCACCGAGAGAGAGAGTGTGTGCGCGCGTGCACATGTGCACTTACAGTGGCTGGTCATTAGGACCTTGAATTTTTTCTAGCTTTGTAACCAAGAATAAAAATTGGAAATCCTTCTAAAGTGTAGGCATGTTCAGAGGATCCTAGGCTGTCTCGAAAGTGCATGCCAGGGATGAAGTAAAGGTACATGAAGAGGAGAGCCTCTTGCATCCATCAGCTCTGCTTATTGCACTCAGATTTCTCTACCAGGAGGCTGAATGAGAGAATTGCTCCATACGTGAAATTCTGGGACCTTGTAGTGAGCGATCCAACCAAATGGCTTCACAGGAGCCTCCAGCCCCGTGTTTAAAGTCAAACTCAGTCCAGTTGATCCCTTGGGATTCAAGTTGGTGTAACTACATTTGTTCTCATCAAGGCTGATTTTTTGACTCGGCAGCAGAATAGCTTTGTGTCCTTGCCGTGACCGGTGCCTTACAATCCCACTTGCCTGGCTTATTTGTGTCTAAATTTGACTTTGTTGGTTTCTTGGCACAGTTCAGTGGACCAGGAGAGGAGAACCTGAAACATGCAGCAGCCACCTTCTGTAGTAACCAGCCCTTTGCTTTAGAGGTGATCAAATCACGGCAGAAGAAGGACTCGCGCTTCCAGACCTTTGTGCAGGTGAGCTTTGCTCAGGAGTTGGGGCCGGTGTCAGACCTGGCTGGTGGCTAGGATAAGAGGGCTGTAGATAAGGCTGTCATAATGAGTGGGGTTATGTCTAACACTCGCTAGATTGGGATTATTTCCTGCACCAAGTTCTCCCTTTTAATTGTTTCTGGAGGGGAGAATTTTAAACGCAGAGGATTAGAGTGCCTGGAGAGAGGGAAGCATCATCATTTTTTTTTTTTTTTTATGCTGTGATTGTGTCCCGCGGGGGAGGGGTTTGGGGGGGGAAAAAATTAAACGCAGGAGATTAGAGGGCCTGGAGAGGGGGAAACATCATCTTTTTTTTTTTTTTTATGCTGTGATTGTGTCCCGTGGAGGAGGAGTTTGTGTGGGGCAAATGGTGGGGTGGAGTGTGCCATGCGTAGAAGAGAGGTATGGGGATTGCCCCTGCCCTCTGGGACAAGGCCTCATCATGTGTGGCATGTCGGGAGGAGAACGTTATCTGCTCCGCCACTGGCTGAAAGCAAGCCTGGTAATACCGGGCTGATGTGATTTTGAAATATGTAGTGTAGTTTTGCTGTACCGTGGAAGACTAAGTTGATGTCTTCTGTGTATGGCACTGACTGAGATTGATAGCAGATGGCACCGGGCTTGTGTGAAGTAATGAGGGAGAGAAGGCATTGCTTTTTGTGATGAGCCTTTCCTATACGTAATTGCAAGTGAAACGGGGCCATGTTGTCTGAGTGATAAATCTTGGCATTTCTTGTCTTGTATTTAATTACCGGAAAGTGAAGTAATAGACGTTTATATGATGAATAGATGGTACATGTTCAGGTAATTATAGTCTTAATAAAAATGACAAATGCAGTTATTATGCTGTTTAATTTTAGGATGCCGAGAGTAATCCGCTGTGTCGCCGGTTGCAATTGAAGGATATCATTCCCACTGAGATGCAGAGACTGACTAAATACCCCCTTCTGTTGGATAGTATTGCTAAGTATTCAGGTAGAGCATTTGGACAAGGGAGCCGTTGGCTTTGTCAGTGTGTCACGGTGGTTTTGCCAAACACATTGGACCCATAAAGATGTCTGCTTGCAACTTGTTTTTTGCCATGTGTCCATGACTGGTTTCAGCATAACCTCTTTCCCTTCTTTTGTGCAGTGTGATGGATAAAAAATTGGGGTTTTTTTGTGGGAGGGGAATCTAATTTGGAATTTCATCTTTAATTTTTTTTCTTTTGAGTAATAAACATATTTTATATAATAAATTATAATAACTTTTTAAAAGTCTAAATCTGTAATACTCTATTAGAAACATTTAAATGGAAAAAAGAAATCGAGTAGTATAATTTATGGTCAGAGAGAGAGAGTCAAAATGCTAGCGCCAATGTAAGTTCTAGCAAAGAATATGGAACCAGAGTAAAAAGAAAAAAAGCTTCTAATAAAAGAAATCCACCGTCAATCACTTCTGCCCGCCTCAAAAATGTGAAAATTAATCTGAATAAAAGTACATTAAGCTGCATAATTGGAATGCACATGTGCAGCGAGCTACCTTAGCTAGCAAGAGACTACCACCTTTAGTGTCAGGCTTTATATGGTACAAATCAGTGTGTTTCATTGGTACTAACCCAAAAAAATCAACTTTTCTTTAGGAAAGTAACTAAAAACTGCAGACGCAAAGCAAAAGGGAAAATGAAAGATTCAAATCAAGGTTCCCTGCCTGTTGATTTGGATGATGATTAATAATTGGTGATTTGAAACGGTACACTCTGGTACACAGCATGTCTTCTGCCACCCAGGGTTTCCTTGTGCAATATCCTTTTCCTGTGAGGAGAACATACTTATTCAGAAAACAAGATCTAAAACTGGTCTGCTTCAAAAAAACCCCCCAAATTAAATTTCCACTGGAGCCTTTTTAAGGTGCCTGTAACGGTAAAGCCAAGGTGGTGGAAATAATGTAAATGTTGCCTATGTTCTCTTTGCAGTGGGTGCTGATAGAAGGGTAATTTTAATATTGCTATTCTTATCGCCCTTTCAATCTTCAAAGGCCTGTCACGTGTACATACACCTCCAGAGCAGAACCTAGCTAATTTGTACTTCTGTATAATGCACTACCTGGAAACTGCACAAAACCTCGTTGGTAATCCTACAGCATACCCTTCTAAGCAAAGGTTTTAATAGTAGACACTAACTGCAGTGACATCTAATTGCTTAAGTTAAAAACCACTATACCTACCAGATGACTGTGAGTACAATTAGGAGTGGGTTGTGATCCATTCTTCTTGCTGTACCTGTCTGCAAATGGAAAAAAAATATATAATTGGCCTTCCAGTAAGTGAGAATTGCTTCATGTGCATCTGTAGACACAATCATGCCTTACCTGTCTTTGGACATGGGAGTGCTCATTGGACTCACAATTTTACTCCTGCTGTTGTTGCAGGTTGTTGCTTCTGAGCTGTAGCTTGGGGAAAATATTTGTTTTAACTCTAAGCAAATAAAAGAAAAGTCTGAAGTCTGGGGAACGTTACCACTTGCATGTTTGCATAAAATCCCATTCTGACCCCCTTTTTATTATTTGTTTAAATGCCTGTCTTTATAAAATTCAATTACTCTTGTTTTTAAATTGCATGTTCCAGTATTTTTAATCACATCATATTTTCAGTTAACAATGTATCCCTCTTCCATATTAGTTTCAAAACCCTAGTAGCTTTGTCTGATGGTGTATGCTGTCCTCTGAGCTAACTCCTCTGCCTCTTCACATTTTAGCCAGAGATTAAAAACGATTCTAGTTTCCTTCTCTTCCCCCTCACCCAAACCTCTCTCCTGCAGTTACCCTGGGAGCTGCAGTGGAGTTCTAGCAACTTTTTCACATGCTTCAAAGTTCTCTTTGACCTGGAATTTAATTTAGTGGATAACCTTTCCAGAAAGGTTATCCAGCAACTTAACTGTCAGTTTTATTAGGGCTTCAAAACTCTGCCTCTGTTAAACACTTCAGTATTATAGAACTATGGCCTGGGGAGGTTCCAGACCCATATTGCTCCCAGCCATGAACCTATTTCTATTGTTAATCTCTGAAATGCTGCATGTGCACTGACTGTTTTGTGGACACAGTCTCCTCGAATTTACAGTCGGCATTAGATTTGCTACCTCTTTTCATCCTTTCCCATCTTTCCTTTATTGTCTTGTCTTGTAGAACTGCCTGAGGAGAAGGAGAAAGTGAAGAAAGCAGCGGATCACTGCCGTCAAATCCTTAACTATGTGAACCAAGCTGTCAAAGAGTCGGAGAACAAGCAGGTGAGAAGAAAGGGAAACTAGTAACAAGAGTGGGCAAATGGGGGCATCAAAAAAAGGAGCCAGGATGCTGGAGACCTCCAAAATGGCTAGCTCTGTGGCTGAGGGAGTGAGACTTGTCTTCTGGTGGATCTTTGTGCTGCTAGTGGAGCTGGGGTCCCAAGCCCCTGTGAGCCTGTTGAATTTCCGATGGTGTCCTGAACATTTTGACTCTTTTGAGTTTAACCCGAACCAATGTGAATGGCTTCATCATGTCTCTTCCAGCATTTAGAAGATTATCAGCGTCGTCTCGACCTGTCTTACCTGAAGCAGGCAGAAGACCCTATGCTGGATGAGTTTCGGGTAAGTGACAGAGCAGAAGCAATGATTTAGTTACGGTGATGATTCCCCGGGTATTTTTGCAGTTGTTTGCTGTTGCAGCTTTCAATTTGTGTAACAAAAAACCAAAATTAAGTGGGATGCAGGTTCTGGTTGTATTGGTCAAGAGGCAGAAGGGATCAGAACTCATGGCAGAGATGATATCTTTTATTAGATCAACTAGATAGTTGCAAAAAAAAAAAATTATTTGCAAGCTTTCGGGCACACTCACCCTTCTGTCAGGCATAGGAGAATGCAAAGATTGTAAAATTTCTCCTAGGTGGCAATGAAAATTCATATTTCATAGGAGAACTGAAGGTGTTGTAAGATCTCTTGGTTGGAATAGTTCATTTTGTGCAAATTAGGCTCAGATAAAAGTTGGAACAATCTTTTTACCTTGATGTTGTCTGGTGTCAAGCAGGAACATCCTGAGGTTGATTCACCTTGAGGATCCAGTAGTATAACCAGCTGAACTGCTAGAGCTGGTGGTAAACGTCCGTGATTTGTGGCGCCTGTGACATCGCTCACAAATATCCTTGGAACAGAGCTTTTTGATGTATAAGCATACAAAACAATTGCAAAATACAAATTCTGCATACACCCTTTCATAGCTGAACATAGTCTCTTGCACAGTTACTAAACTTCCACAGGTGCACTAAATAAGTTTATAATAGTCAGAGTTCTTCATTTCAAGGCTCATGGAGTTCACTATAAAGCTGTTCTGTGTAGTGTACCAGCCTGTCAGAAAAGACTTGGCAAACTCTTTATCCCATGAAATGAAAGACTCATGGTAGATATAAAATCTGCTATCTTGCTAGCACCGCTTATAAACTCTGAGGCTTGGGTGGAATGGCTTGTGGAAATTACTACATTTACTAGCTTGTCTACAGATCTGCTAAATGTCACAAGCACTGAAATGAATGAAGAATCCACTGACATTATAAAGCCCTGCAGATCATCAAAACAATTCATACATCAGTGTCATCTTCAGGCATTCATAACTTTCAACTTGGCTGTTGAAGCACTAACCAGCTATACTATAAACTGCAAACTTTTGTATAAATTGACAGAATACCAGTAGCAATACAGTGACCCCTCAGCTGGCTCAAGAATGTAATTTTAAAAGCAAATTCTTCACCTGATACTTTAAGCTTGTGCAAGGCCGCAGGTTGTAAACCCTTCATCCAAAGAGAATGCCATTGGAATACCAGAGCTTAAAAATGAATGCAAGTCTGAAAGGCTTGAATTGTGACTTCTGTCTTGCATCTAACTTTCAGAGGACTGGATTGTAGGATTCAACCCCTCTATCTCTCATAAAGTCCTTAAAATAGCCCTTAAAACAGTTCCTTCTACTAAAAACCTGTCACTGAGACTAAACCACCTCCCCGCCACCATGTTTAACTGACCTGACATTTGGCAGTGACCACAGCGTCTTCTGCTGTCCTTCACATACAGACTACACAGGTGCTTTCACAGGTGTTTGGTCTTTCCCACTCCTGCCATGCAAACCATAGAGCCCAGTTTGCCATGTTCAGCCTATACATTAAGCTTCCTTAATATAGGCCTGTGATCCCCTATATCTGGTCTATGCCTGGAGGGTCCTGTTTTTACACAACAGAGAAGAACGGACTTTTTATGGGGTATGGTGAAGCTTCCAGGTTCAAGTGATGAGTGCAGTGATTCACAGGCTCTGGGTTCATTGTCTGTCACTCTTTTGATTCCAGATCTCTCTTTACCAGGCTCTGAATCAGGCACTGGTCTTTAGCCTGGAGTATCTATACCCTTTCCCCAAAATCTTGGTTCTTTCCCTTTATTTGTGCTATGAACTCTCTAGAAATGCTAGGAGGTTTGTTTTTTATTTATTCGTTCATTTATTCATTCCTTCCCCTATTGACAGAATTTAGATTTAACCAAGCGGAAGATGATTCACGAAGGACCTCTGACTTGGAAGGTGAATCGGGACAAGACTATAGGTGAGTCCTATTCTGGCAGCTGGCTTAGAGGTGGGTTTTGCAACCAGCAGTGGAGAAGAGATGAGTCATCTTTGATTCCCAATTACGGATTGTTCGGCTACCTGTGTTGATGGCCGCATATTTCTCGGAGCTGATTAAGTTATTTTCTTCAACCTGAAATGTGCTTGGAGCATCATTAAGACCATGCAGGGAGGCAGCAGTCAGTCGTGAGCTGATCCAGTCCTGTCTGCATCCCTCTGCTGTAGTTTTGATGAGGAAGATATACTTAGAATGGCCTTGAGTTGATTACTGCCTTTGCATGTTTAATAGAAAAAAGGCCTTTTATCTTTGAACTGGGGTGGGTGTGATGAGGGAGTGGATCTTTATCCTGATCTGGGGCTGTTCTCACCCTGCACAGATCTCTACACCTTGCTCTTGGAAGATATTCTGGTGCTGTTGCAAAAGCAAGATGACAAACTGGTGCTGCGGTGTCACAGTAAGATCCTGGCATCTACTGCTGACAGCAAGCACATATTCAGCCCTGTGATCAAGCTGAACACTGTGCTAGTTCGCCAGGTGGCAACAGGTCAGTCTGAACTATTAGCAGTGTTTAGGAGTGAGGTTACTACAAGCTTGAGGCCATTTAAGGAAGCAGTTTGTTTAGATGATGGGGCAGGGGTCGGGGGGGGGGG